AAATATAATGAATATTTATTAAATAATTATTTATTTTAATATATATATTATTACTTTTAATATTTCTAAAAATTTTTGAAATAAAAAATATTCAAAGTTTTTTATTATTAAAATTAATGAAATTATTTTTGTTTTATAAATTTTCAGAGAATTTTTCGAAAATTTTCAAAAAATTTTTAACTGGTGAAGATCTCTGAAGTTCTTCACCAAAAAAATTTTCTGATGAACAATATGATCCAATCCCTATTAGGTCACATAAGAACCTAGATCCATCATAAATCATCCGTCTATCACAAGTAGATAAAAAATTACTATCTAAAGAAGGTTGAAACTAAGTATGTTCTGGAGGTAAAGATTTCCATTAGGTGATAAGTCTCCTTAAACAATACATGAGAAGAAAATTAAGATCAAGAATGGATAGGTTTTTCAGACAGTAGAAAAAGAAAAGATATTCCAATCAGACATCTCTTATTGAAAAGAGATCTTAAGAAACAAGTTTTTGGAGGAAACTGGAAATCTTTTTTTCAAATTTTTATTTTTTTATTTTCTTGTTGTCTATTTAGATATTTTTAAATATTCCTCTTCCCCTTTTTCAACTCATTCTTTTGTAATTTTCTGTATTTCAGCAGCTTAGTAAGATATACTATAGTGACAACCTGCTGACAATGATGCAATAGACTAGAAAGGTTTTTATTCAAAGATATTGCGAAGCAAAATATTGTTTCCAAGACTGAAATTAAAGGTTTTTATACTTACAACAAGTTAGTTAGATTAAAATAATAGTTTGGTTATAATATGTATTATACTATTCAAATGAAAATATACTTATGTTTTCAATTGATTAATAAACTGATAATCTAGCCTGACTACAGTTATTCAAAAAAAAAAAAAAATAAAGAATTATAATGAATTAATATCAAGAAAAAGTCAATACTTACATATTATCTACTGAAGTACTGTGTCTCTATATCTTTGAAAGGAAGAGAAGATAACTTCTACTATATCTTCTTCTTTTCAAATAGAAGGGGAATGGTTTCAGAAGCCAGCTTTATTGATACTATACCATTTGAGAATCTGTCTAGGAAACTACTTATTCAAAGATTAGATGGGACCTACAGTCAGGAGGATACCTTAAAACCTGTGAGGGGATTGATTATCTAATCCTAAAGATAATACCAGCTTCAAGCATAAGCTGTTTATTTAAAAAGGTGCAACTCTTCCAAAGTCAAGTTAAGTCTTTAAGGAATCTTTCAATCTGACAATAGTTTTAAACAAGTACTTTTACAAGAAGTAAGATTGGTGGGTACTACTGGCAGTCAAAGTGGTCATACTTGAGGGGAGTCATATTGAAAGTCTTGATATTAATCTTCAGTTTGTGGTCCTTCCACAAACTATGAATTAGAAATAAAAAAACTTACCAGTTGAAAAAAATCTCCTGTCCACCTTGTTTGTTTTTTATAAAAATTAAATAAATTTTTATCTATTTATAAGAGTTACTAGAACTTACTTGACTATCAAGAATAGATAATTTCAATACTAAAAATAATTGAAGTGTCTTGTAATCTTAACCATGATTGAATGGACTCTTTCTTTTTTAATTTTGTTGGAGGATGCAGTTTCAACAAATAGACCTAAGTATATATAGCCCTTAAAGTACTTATACTGGATTAAGTTGATGACTATAGTAAGAGCAATACCTATTTGCAAGGATGATAATACAAAATGGGATATGTGAAATATATATATATCTTGTTTATCTTTTGTCACTGATGGTATTATCTAGCTTCAAATATCTAGTCAATGAAATTTTAGCAGATTTAATGTAACCAAAAATTCAGGATCAAAGGGGATAGGCAAAATTCTTCCAAAAATTGAAAATTTGTTTACATGTTTTAGAAAGCTTGGGGTTTAATGAGTTTCTTAGAAAGCAAGACCATTGCATATAGCATAGCCTTTAATGAATACTCTTCCTATAAACCGGCCTGTCCTATTATAGAGTCTTGAAGGGAAGACTTTAATCAAAAGTCTTTTTCCTAAGTATTCTTTCTTATTATTAGAAGTTTAAGTTCTATCTTATTCACTTTTGACTTGAAATCAATACTCAAGTTAATCAGAGAAACAAAGAAAAGATAAAACTGGGTGAAAGGTGTTTTGTAGTATATTTACAAAGTGTATTTGATAGTATAACAACTTTATTAGCACAAAAGTATAAAACTTCTGATGAATATTGCTTTGAAATTAATGATAAATTGATTAATGGAAAGAGTTATGTTGCAATTGAGTAAACTTTTCTATAATATAATATTGATTTTAAAAATATAATAAGTAAATTTATATTTCATAAAAAATAAATTTTTTAAATAATTTTTAAAAAAACTTAAATAAGAATAAGCAAGATTTTTGGATAATCTAAAATAAGAAGAATATTTCAATTAGATAGATCTTTTTTTAAAAAAAAAATCACAATTTGAATAGAAATCTTGAAAAAAATTTTATTTTATTTTATTTTTTCTTTTCTTTTCAATATAATTTATTATTTTTGAACCTGTAATAACAAACTGTTGATAATGATCAAGAGAGTGAAATATTGATTCCAAAATCTAACTTAGAATATCTAGTTGAGATTTGATTTTGTTTAATTCAAATTAGCCTAGTAGACTCCTTACATTTTTAAAGTAGTGACTAATAATGTATAATGACAAGTAAGCTGTCATGTGAATAGTCTATGTAATGTCTCAATAAAGATACCATGATGGCATGATTGATTACCATACGTAGTATTAGAGACACGAATTTTTTTATTAAAGCAGGAAAATGCCAAGTTGTGATCACATGCAAAAAAAAATTCAAGTCGGTTCCACAATAATACTTGATACACGATTAGTTATTTACAAAATTACAACCTGAGCACTACCGGCATACTATTACAATGGAAGTCTTGAAGAGTAATTTCCACGAACTTTTTCCAATCATAAAGGAAGCTATCAATGGAGCCGATCTAATAGCTCTGGATACTGAATTGACTGGTGCGTCAGACGCGAATGTTGGTGACAATTCACGAGATCTGGAAGTTGATCGCACTTTCTACCCTCTCTCGAATATTTGCACTATAACTTAGGGCTGAGCGAGCAAATTGAAAGAATCAAGAGTTTTGACGATCCACAGTCGAGATACACGAAAGTTCGAGCTGCCGCTACCAAGGCATGTGAACTTGCATTCAGATTCTCATAAGACAACAAGGCTCACCGTTTCTTATCTACTTTAATAGTTTCTCATCGTACAATTTGGAATATGCACGTACACCTATTCGAAAGACGATAATTCCTTTGTCGCACGACCCTTCAATTTCTATATATTCCCTGCGAATGCCGAAAAAAGGGATCAACATGATATTTGTTTCATGTGTAGTGGATCAAGTCTGCATTTCTTAGCGAACTGCGGATTCGATTTTAATAAATGGATATCACAAGGCATGAGAATCGTAACTTCCGTCGTCACGTTTTATGAATTGGATCATTTTCTATCAGTGTATTCTGACTCGAGGTATTCAAATGATGCATTCAATTGTTCGCAGGAATACCATTCATTAATCATACAGATGAGGAGAAACTCGCGCAAAGAAAGATCGATATAGCACAGAGGCAAACTGGTGAGTTATTTGTTGACATCTTGACGATTTTTCCGGTACATCATTATTCCGACATCTAATCGAAGATCCATCAAGACAACCCACCAGATGATGACACCAAAACGTTTGTTGAGGAAACGTTGTAAGTGTGACCGATCATATCATTCATTCGTTCAGTCGTGATCAGATAGAAGTTGGGTTTTACCTTATTACCACCATAAAAAAAGGAAGACCATCGAAATATGGCTCGACAACTCTGATAAACAATTGATAGTGGAGACACCAACTCTTAAACAGAAACGATTGATCTTTCAAGAATTCAGAGCAAGGTTATGACATTTCTATTTTTGTCATTATCTCCGTACTCACATGATGCGGACCTTTCCGTCTGATAGATACAAATTACAGGTACAAAAAGATTTTGTCGGCCGAGAGTAGACCAAAGAGTATCTTGTTCGAAAAGCTTACGGATGCACAAAAAGACAAAAAATCTAAAGAGGAGGCGGCTGAAGTAAGGGATATAGTGATTTTAGTGATTTTAGTGGAAATTTTATTTAGAACTAGGCTGAATGGAACATTCACTCCATTGTAAAGGCATTGGCGGCCAGCATAAACTTCAGAACCATAATTGAGCTGTTGGTAGAATCCGATAAGCCACTGGTGGGTCATAATTGTTTCCTGGATATGTGTCAACTTGTTCAACAATTCTGGACAGAACTACCGGAAAAATTGAAAGAATGGAAAAAATTGGTGCACGGACTGTTCGATCTGTAAGTGATATCAACCATAGTGATGCACCTTTACCGACCTCACACGTATAACCCCTTTAGGATAATCGACACCAAACATTTAGCGGCAAGTCACAGAAAATTGCAGGCACGGGAAACATTTTTAGATTTGGGTTATTGATCACGTTATAAACGGCTCATACCAATTGAATCTTATGATAAATCTAGTCGCTTATCCCGAAGAATAGCGTCCAGGATATTTTACAGGTCGTTCAAACCGAACCTTTTGAAAAGTTTGCACCGAAAATTGGTAAGTCAGGATTTCGAGTGCAGACCGAGACATAGACATATTGTGAATGCGCGCGTTCATCAATTTTCTTGTGATACCGACAATAGAAATGGATCAAAAATTCACGCGGTACACTCTCAACGACGATTCTCTGAATCATGAAGCAGGTTACGACGCGTACATCACCGGATATAACTTTATTAGATTGGCATCGTACATGTTTTACGAAAAAGGTTAATGATGCAATGAATCAATGCTTTTAATGCCGAACGATAACTTAAAGAAGAGCATTTAGTGTTGATCTTTTTGTTTTTAGAGGAAAAGGTCGGGTTCTATGACGAATTACTCCGAGAAAATATCAATGAGACCTTAGTACCAGATGAATTTGTATACTCAACTTCTCCGGACGAAGAAAATGCAGACTTTTTGGAAGATATATTCACATCCGAGAAGCTGACACGTTTCTATAACAAATTGCACCTTCTAAGATCAGATTTTAAATTCATATGTCTGGATGGTGAGGATGGATGTGAGTATGCCGTTCTACTCTTTTTTTCTTCATTTGTACACGTGTTCTGATTCCTTGTTGACGGGATTTTTTGCAGATCCGCCCACCAAGCCAAACGGGTTCTTACTTTCCAATATTCCCACATCATGTAATCACGTAACTTTATATGCCCTGTTTGGGGTTTTCGGAAGTATCTTCTTCCAGTGGATTGATGATACACATTGTTGGTTAATAGTTAAAGATGATAAAAAAGTGAGTAAGGTTCCAAAAGGTGTCCTTGGGCGAACCAAGTTGTTCTCACTGTTCTTGGAAGGAGGTAAAAATTATGATCTGGCGCTGGAAAAAGGAATCACAAAGGAGATGGGCGAGATTTGCATTCAATCATGGAGTGATTGGGTCAAATCATTATTGTATGCCGATTCAGAGGATGAGAAGGAGGAGGGGGAGAAAAGAAATAGCGGTACTGCATCAATGGACGGTGCGTGCATTGACTTTTATCATAAAGTAACATCATGGTAATTTTTATGCAACTTCATCTGACACAAATTTCTTTTTGTGATTAATGAATTAGATGTAAGAGTGGAAAATGGATTTGATAACAATCAGGTTGAGATACAATTTGAAATTAAAGATACGCCTCCTGCACCTCATGATGAATCGTCATGGGGGCGCCCGCGAGAAGACAAGTGGGCGGATGGAGATGGTAATAACGGATGGTTGAAGAAAGAGGTGAGCGCATGTACTCTAGAAAAAGACGACACTTGGGCGAACAATGCAGATGGCTTGGACTGTGATGACATTAAAGATGCGAAAAATGTGAAAAATGATTGGGGCACGTCTTCGCCGGAGACGTTAAATATAAGCATTAAACGTGCGCTGTCGAATCCTCAACCCCCGGTGGAAGAGGAGGAAAGCGATACCGAAATGAACGGGGCCTTCAAGAAGACCAGAATTGGATAAGACTCACGAGGAAATTACTCGTATGCTAATACATGTATATATGTACTTTCCATAAATTGAGTCATTAAGTTCATTTATTATGTTGAAGAACTACTTGAAAATCTTTTTATCCTTTTACTAAAGCTACGATGGCTTCCGAGTCATCTAATTATTGAACTCATTTATTTTCTGGCCTTTTCGATCGCGGTAAAATATGCATAAATTCCTCGATTTTCGAACACAGCGTGTTGAAACAATGATAAATGAATAATAAATTACAAAACTTTTGAGGTTGACTTCGACTAAGATGGCGAATGCAGAAAAAAAAAAAAAAAGAAAGAAAGAAAAAACAAACTTCTTAATTACCTACCCATAAACAGTGGATAAATTGGGGAAAGCATTAGTATTTCTGTTGTAGACGATTCATGTGATTCAGCGGAATCTTCAGATCATATGATACAAAACACCTAATTAAAAAAAAATGCAACCCTTGCGAAGGAAATTCTTTAAATAATCCGAAATGATTGGAAAGCATTTTTCGTAAAAGAAATTATTCAAACTTTCTTCTCTTTCGTACATAAATGCGTAGCGTAAGAATCTTGAGTATAAATTCTTTGCAGCAACACTTGAATTCAAGCTTTTTTTTTTTTTTTCGTTCTTTCGTTCGTTCGTTTGTTTTTGTTTTTATCTTTTTTGGCAACGTTTCATCGAAATACATCAGTGTTCCTAAAACTAGAATTGTCTTTCAAGGCGTCATTATGCGTTTTGTACTCCATAATAGTTTCGGATGGCAAATTCAAAACTCGTTTCATTGTATCCCTAATTAAAGTTTTATTATTATTTTTTTTTTCACAGATCGCATGTTGTGCATAAACTTTGAAGTGAAATGGTGATCTTTGAGATCCATGTATATCTCGAAAATTGCTCATAAACACCAACCTTATCTTTAGATTAATCCTGCCCTCGTGAGAGGACTGATTCCACAAGGATAAGATATCCTCGGAACTGCGGATGGACAATACCGCTCCACAAATTTCCGTGCCCACATCAAATTGGTCACCGATTACCGCCATGACCTATCACAATCAAATTAATACTTTCTCCTTCTTTGACCGCACGACAAAACATTACTAACCGTAGACCACAGATCTACTCACCAAACTTTCCCAATATCGACTGGCTAGACCCTTCTTTAACCTTACAATCCATTTACCTCCATTAATATTAGTATCGTCCTGAAAAATTAAGGAAAATAAAATATGGGGCTCACGCCTTATAAAATGATGCCGGAAATTAGGTTCTCTCAGAATCATACCTCCCATACAGGCCTAATGCCTTGTTTGAAAAGGTGATAGTCGCTAATGTTGGGTAGTTCGTGTGGTCTCCGGAGGTGACTATAAACAGCCCAAAAATCTTCTATCTGTGCATTTAAAGGGTCGGAGGAAGAGGTAAAATGATCAGTAATTCCTGTTCACGAAGGGAATGGAACTCGGGCGGGATGAATGGCTCACCGAAGAGAATGCTGCAATCTTTTTCATTGAACTCTCGTAATTTTGTATCTTGCTACCAGGGATTCGATGCATGAACCAAAACACCCATGTAAAATGCAATGGGTGAATTTCGCTGGTGGGACTTGGTGTAAATTGCTGACGCGTCAGACTAATTACCAAACCATTACTATTATTCCCGTTCTCCCTCTCCTTGATATCCTTGTCCTCAACTCCCCCGCCGCCCGTGATGCTCAAACGGTGCTTTGCGAGATAGCCGCTTCCGCCTCCATTGCCCAAAACGGCGCCCATCGCCAGGGGCGTCGTCGGTGTCAGAAGAACGGTGGAAGCGGATACACCATTCGATGAGGTCGTGCGTTGAAGTTGGATTAGTTTTGTGGACGATGTGGAGGTTGTCGGAGTCGTAACTGTTGCAGTTGTAGATGTGAGAGTTGAGTTACTGTGGTCGGTGTTGACTGTCAAACGATTGTTGCTGAGAAGTAGAAATGAAGTGAACCAGAATTAGATTCACCGTGAGGCGCACAAATGCATTGAAGACACCTCGATCAACGGTCTAAAAATTTTTTTGAAAATCTGCCAACCACAAAAAAGAATTTCGTTTCTACCTGCGCTTCCAGACAGATTCCATTCTTTTTCTTTTTTTATTATTATTGAACTATACTCTAAAAAAATTATATTTTATCGATTTATGATTAAGGGTTCGAAAGGTTTTTGAAAAGGTGTAGGAATAAATTACAATATAATTATTATTTGTTAAGATTATAGTAAAAGGTTTTTTTTTTTTCGAAAATCAGAAAAAAAATTTTTTTAACAAACGAAATTTCCACATTTCATCCATCTTCATGTACCTAAATGATGAGACCTTGTGTCTTTGCCCCACATCATTGTGTTCCTGATGTGAGTATGGGTTCACCATTGGCTGATCTTCAGAGCACGTCATCAATTACACAAACTTTATGTATAATAAATAATAGTTATGATTGAAAAAAAAAAAAAAAAAAAAAAAAAAACGTACGCACGCACGTACGTAATGTTTTATTTAGTGCGTGTGTATTTAGCTACAGGGACGAAACCCAAAGCTTATGGTGTCAAAAAAAGGGAAGAGAGGGAAAAACAAACTTATCAATCGAGAGATTCACTTGACGTTTTTTTTTTTTTTTTTTTTTTTTTTTTTCGACCTCATAATTTTTCACATATGATCATTTGGCCATTTTTGGTTAGTTCGCCGAGTATAAATAAGTAGTAATCGGGACATAAGTGCTACGCATTTTAGATTTTTGATTTTTCTAAATTGCAACTTTTAGGTTGGTACCATCCAAAGAGCCTGAAAAATGGCCAGGGGAAAGCAAAAGGTTAGCTGGTTGTTTCCTAGACATTTTTTTTATTTCTCTCCGAGAGAACTGTCGGACTATCGAAAGTTTATTTATTATTATTTTTTTTTTTCTTTTCCTTTTTCCTTTTTTCTTTTTAATTACGCTGCGTATAACAGGAACAAGCTAGGTAAGCTTGAAGTTTTAACAATTTGAAAAAAAAAAAAAAAAGAACTTTACGTGGAGTGCAAGGTTCAGCGGTTTCACCTTTCCGTGCAACTTTCACTTCAGAGAAAAGGCTCAAAAACTAGCTGAAGCAAGAAGCGGCGGCAAATCCCAGTTGGAGGCTCGTGCGAAGGGGTTGCAGTTGAAGTGCCCCGTCTGCAAGGTAATGTCAAACAGACATTCCACGTGCTACGCGCCGAATACTTCTTAAATTCCGTGTTTTCTCCCCGAATTCAGACTCCAGCAGCAAACTATAAAGTTGTCGTTCAGCATATGGAGGTAATGACGCCACACACCATTCCGGACCTCATCTCAAAGTGGTCTTAATGATCTTAACAACCCGTTTGTTCCGTCCTTTCATTATCCTCATATAACAGGCTAAACATCCGAAGGAAGCGATTCCGCCAGAAACTGCTTTCCAAAGTTAAAAGAAAATTGGGGGTTTTTTTTTTTTTTTTTTCAAAAACTGTTTGATTCTTGGTTTGTCCTGGATTGAGGCGAAGAATTGTTCCTTCACTGCAATCCTTTTTTTTTTCTTATTTATTTATTTATTACATATAGGACTGGTGGTTTTAAAGGAAAAATGTGGGCATCACAACATTATAAAAATGAATAAATGAATCGGAGATAGTTCGTGATGCATTCATTGTCCCTCTTCAATGCGCAACAAAAGTAATCCATCTCAATGGTAATCACAACAGTTGTAAGCCGTAACGGAGGGAAATTCGTTATGTAACAATACGTATTTAACATTGTATGTATGTTAACTTGTATCTCTTTAAATTGAATGGAGTGGTTGCTTGTCACATCGTTGACCGCAGACGATCTTATCTTAAAAAGGAAATCACTTTCAGGGTTTGGTTGATCGCTGAAAATCAACTTTACCTCCAGCGATCTGCAATGGTTCATATTATCAATGTACCAGCCTATGAACAATTCGACGAGGTCGTCGATAAAGCCATTCGAGAACACGGGCGAAACGTTTACGTCTTGCTCTTTGGTGAGAACAGATTTTGTACCATGTACTTTTAAATTGTCGCAGCTCACTGCGAGAAACAGGATTACACTGTATGCTATGTTCGTTTGCTTAATTCAACAGGCACCAAAGATCCATCCACAGGAGTTTCATGGTGTCCGGACTGTGTAAGAGGTATATGATATACAATTATTATAAGCCACGAACAATGGCACATCACACATCACGCATTATCGCTCAATTTTTATACACTTTGTCATTCTTTAGCTGATCCCTTGATCCATCGTTGCGCTCGCCCCGATAGTGTGCTCGTTGAAGTTCCGGTAGGCACAAGATCCGAGTATGTATCACATTCTCGATTCCGAAAATTCCCTTTCTTTCCACAATCACACAAAAATTTATTCAAAATGCAAACTATATTCCTTTTGAAAGGTACAAAGGAAGACCGGACAATCCTTACAAGACCCACCCAAGAATTCAACTCAAGGCCATTCCCACCTTGATAAAATGGTCGGTCACCGGTAGCGATGACGACAAACGTTTGGTGGAATACGAGTGTGCTAATGAAGATGCATTAAGTGAACTCTTTTCGGAATGATTATTATTGTTATACTCATGGATGATTTATATTTACAGTAAATATAAACAGAATAAATATTATACAGATAAATAAATAAATAAATGTGCAAATGCTCCCTCCTTTCCAACACACAAAAATAGATGCATCCGCTTGCGTTCGTTGTTAATAATATTAATTTCAAAAAGAAAATGTTTATTGAATCAACTAGAGAGAGGCTGACTCTTTCTCTTTTCTTTTCTCTTTATTTTTCCATTGATAATGTCCCTCGTCTTACCAACAATGCTTTTCTGCCTTATCTTTACAGTATCATCACAACCATCACCTCGCTTCAGTCGTTCGATCTCCGCTTTTTCGCACTCCAACTTCCAATCGAATTTTACCAAGAATACTCCGGTGACAGGTCGGTGATCGGAGAATCCTATGACTTCCGTGTGACTATCGTATCTTTCGACTTCTATTTTTTTGCCTTTTGTTTTGTAAATTATTCGATCCGTCCAACTAGGCACTCGTTGTTTGGGACCGGAGTCGTAGCGTGTTGCAGTTGACTCGGACAATAATGAATCGCTCGACCGGTATGTGACGTCCAATTTGAATGTCGGGCGAAATTTTATTTCGGCCTCGTTAAAGTCGAAGAAATAAGGAAATTCGGAAAGCTGACTCGAAAGTTGATCGTGCCGGAGTAGAGTCTGACATGCGTCATGCGAGTTAGTCTGTGTTGAAATTAAAAGGTGCTAAGGTTCATCGTGGTAGGAATATCTTACACGAAAATCGTGATTTTTAATTAACTCGTCGGCCTTCTCTCTCGTGAGCTCAACACGATAATTCATGTCGCCGAACCAAAATGTATAATCGAACCTATCGGTAACGTTAGCGTAATCTACATGAGGTAAAAAAAAAAGGCAAAAGCAATTGTAAATTAATTGAATGACTGCATAACATTTCAACTTTACAATAAATCAATTGGTGATTACGTGTGACCTTTATCCTCAGCCTTAAAACCCTTTAGCCTCGATTCTTTGCATATTTTTTTTACATCGTTGTTGCGTTCCTGAACTTTGTCTTGATGCGCTTGAAATTGCGAAACACGCGTCAGAGTGAAGAATATACGACGAAAGCCATCTTTTTAATTCGACAACTCGAACTCACCGGTCAAATGACTGTTGATGAAACAAAATGACGTACTGCCGAATAATAGAGAGATGCCGATTCCGCCTTTGTTGCCGAAAAGGTTAGCGAATCCTGTGGCAACTCCATCATGCTGATAATCTGATAAAGAAACATAGATCTTGTAATTTTGTATCACATGACACATCACGGAATGCCAAATAAAACGTCTCCGATTACCTCTAACAAAGTCATGACATTGTTTCCACACAAATACCGCCAAGTGCAAGGCCGCCATGGTTTCCGTTTTCACGAGGACGTATTCGTCTCCCAGGTGATCCACCAGCATGGACTCCCATTCCTCCTTTGATGGAAAAAGTATGGAATGCTTTATGTTATGTTGGCACTCCTGAGTTCCTATGACCAATATGTGATAAGGATGTCGAGGTTTTCGGTTCAGCAGGGGAGAGTACTTGATTTCTCCAGGATTTATCGCCGGTTTCTCAATGAAGGGTGCGAGACCGCGTGGCGGAAGCTGTTCAAGAAAAGGAATTTATTATTATTAAAGAGTCGAGGGAAACGAGAATGAATGGATGTGCTAGCGAAGATACCGAAAGACAAAAAAAAAGGAACCCACTTTCCCATGCATATTCCATGTGCCAATGAATATCTTTAATTTATCCTCCTCAACCTCCTTCTTCTTGATGGGAGTGAACTTCGATTTCTTGAAATTGATTAATGATACCAAAAATTTAAACATTTCACGTAACCAAATCTTGAGTTTTGATAAAATTGTCTTGTTCGCTGGATCCTCTGGTTCAAGCAAGGCCGTGCTCTCCGAGATAACCAGCGTGGATAACGCTTCCAACGAATCGAAGGATTCTGAAAATGATAAAACATGAAATGTTAGCCTAGATAAAGGGTGCACATGAGCTTTTTTACAGGAAAATCACCATGTGTTATTGATGGAGTTGACATTTCGTATTGTAAAAAGAAAATTTTAGAATGAATGAGACTTGATGTGTTTTACCAGTTCTGGAAAGCACGATTCTCACGCTTTTTATAAAACACGCAGCATCTGTATCTGCCGTGAAGTGTTCTCAGTTACAAATTGGCGAACAAACAATTTAACAGATAATTTTATGCCCATATAGGGAATTATTTAATGGGAGTGTCTGTCAAAGAACCCCATACACCCACCCTCATGCATTATGTAATACGACCAAAAAAAGGAGTCTTTGTTTCTGGGAACACGCATGGTAATTCTGGCAACAGATATACTGTATACTGCATGCACATACCAGACTATTTCATGGTAATGGCATTACCATCGGAGCTTTTTAACGGCAAGAGATATGTGAGCTATGTACGCAATTAATACTAAACTCATTTATGGAAAGGATTCATTAACAGAATTAATAAACAATAAAAGACGACATGGTAACATCATTATTTGGTCATTATTCTCGACGTTTCACGTCAATTGTTATCTTGGAAGCATTGTGAATAATTATGCGAGCGAATCCCATTAAGAAAAAAAAAATCACAATCAATACAGCTGAGATATTCAAGGAAAAAAAGAAAATAGGATTGTTGGGTCACCTCTTTTTGACCTGTTTCATAAGTAAACCTAAATTATAATTATTTCTTCCTTGCTTCGTTTATTAACTGTAAGGAAATTATTTTTAGAAATAATTGATTGAATCATTAAAATTGAATTAATCAATTAAACTCGATTATTTTTTTTGTAATATCCGTAGACAGGCTAGACACATAATTTATTAGCCAAAAGAATATATGAGTATGCATTCATTCAGCATGATCTATATTATAGCTATACTTTCCTATTCACATACAGTATACTGTAACTAACTTATTGCAAGTATTAAAAAAAAACCTTTTTAAGTTTGATCTTGAGAATAATATTTTATTTTATAATGAAATTTTTCTAATTCAAAATATTATATAAATATTATACAGTATATATAACGCTGGCTAATAGTCTCTAAGTTTGACCTTGAAACAATATTTTACTTTGCAATGAAGCTCATTCCATGTTTGGTTCCGTACTTTATTAATAAAAAATTATATTTATTAGTAATCAGGATAAATATCATTTCATATTATCTAAAAATTTATACAATTATATCTTTACTTAATCACATTATTAGAGATAGCAAAACCTATAATATGATATATAGTAAATAAAAACTTTTTAAAAATAATTCTTTATAATTTTTTCTTTTTCTATTATATCTGTCTAAAACTTTGATTTTCAAATTATAGAATATTTTATTTAATCATCTCATATTAATTATGAGTATAAACTTTTTGAATTCAAGGTGAACTATATTATAAAATTGATTCACTAATATTTCAACCTAATATTTGATTTGTTTTTATAATATGAAAACAATAAAAGGTCATATATAAAAAATAATTTAAATTAATATAGATTATTTGTTAAGAAATATATATAAAAATTTTCAAGATTTTATTAAAATAAAGAAATTAAAATTGGATAAAATGAATATAAATATTTGAATATTATTAAAAATTATTTTAAGATAGTTTATTAAATTGAATAGAATGAATACAAAATATTTAAGAAAAAACTTTTTTTACTGATCCTCTGACCATATACAAAAAAAATATTCACAAGAAGTTTTTTGCTTCTTTGTTAATAAAATTTTTAATACTTTCCTTAAAACATCTTGAAGAGGGACTTCAAGAGTTGTCTCTATCCCCCTTACTTATTTACAATCCTCTTTAACCAAAAACTTGACTTCTGGTGACCAAGAACAAGTCAAGTAACACCTTTGATACCAATAGTAAGAAAGTTCCCAAAGGAAAAAAAATCAATAGTAAAGTACATGAAGGCCTTCTCTACTTTTGAAACGAGAGGTATATAAAGATTTTTGATGATAAAAATGCTTATTTTTTTTCTTTTGGTTATTGTTAAATCTTTTAGAGCTATCACTTTTATAGTTTTTTGAAGAATTTTGCCTACCTCAATTTGACCTTAAATTTTGGGTAGTACAAATTCTCATCAAAGATGATTGGCTGATATAAAATACATTAGTTTCAAAAAAAATAAACAAGCTCCTATTGGTCACACTCATGTGTTCCTATCACATTATGGATTATATAGAAAAGAAAGTTCTAGAAGAAGTTTACCACCAACTGAGTATATTCAATACCAGAAAACAGTATAATATCACAAAATAAGTGGATCCACACAAAAAAATTCCATCTCTTCTCTAAGTTTCTCAAGTGATAAAAAAATTTTTTAAGATATAAGATGAAGTCTTTTAGTTTCTCTTGAACTATCCTAATCCAATGTACACTTAAATAAAGACTTATCTGATATCATAGGTAATGATAAAGAAGACTTCTTCCAAGATCCAAATGAAGTAAAAAAGAATATCCTAATCAGGCAAGACCCCTTTTGAGAAGAAACTGTAAAATGAAAAGAACATCTTTTGGAGAGCTTTAAATTGTTTTCCTTTTTTTCTTTTCCTTAATTTAACTTTAACAATTCATCATTTTTCAGAATAATTGATAGTAACAAACTGTTGGTAATGATCCTGGTTGACTTAGAGGCATTATGTCAAACTACTAGAAGAGTGTAATATTGTTCTCTAAATTTAACTTAGAGTATCTAATTGAGACTTGATTTTGTTTAGTCCCAACTAGTTTAATGAACTCCTCATATTTTTTAAGTAGTGTAGTCCTTCAACTAATAATATACAAAGATAAGTTAGTTTTATATGAGAAGGTCTATAGATTATTTTAATATTTTTTCAAGTATCTTAATAAAAACAAGCCATTTCAATATAATTGTAAGTTAAAAAAAAAAAAAAAGAATACAAAATATTTAAATATTATTAAAAATTAATCTATAATAAAAAGTATTAATAAAATATTTTTAAGTTGATTATAGTTATAACAAAGAAATTGAATTTGAAAAGAATAATAAAAAATATTTTTATTATATATAAAATATAAATAATTATCATTATAAAAATTGAACATATCAATTATATAATAATATATATAATAATAATCTTTTCTCTCTTATTATCAATTTTTTTTTTGAGTATCTGTAGCCAGGTAGATTGTTAGTTTATTAATCAATTGAGAACATAAGTACATTTTCATTCGATCAGCCTGATATATACTATAGTTAAACTATTAATTCTAATCTAACTAACCTATCATAGGTATAAAGACCTCTAAGTTCAATCTTGGGGACAATATTTCACTTTGCAATGTTTTTGGATAAAAATCCTCCTAGTCTATTATATCATTGTCAACAAGTTGTCCCTGCTGCATGTCTAATTAAGTCACTGAAATATAGAAAACTACAAAAGGATAAATTGAAAAAAAAAGAGTATGGGGATATCTAAAAATATTTAAATAGATAATAAGAAATAAATAAATAAAAATTTGAAAAAAAATTATTTCCAGTTTTCTCCAAAAACCTGCTTTTCAAGATCTTTTTTAAATAAGAAGTGTCTAATTGGTATATATTTTTTTCTAATCATCTAAGGAACTTATCTATTCTTAATCTTAATTTCCTTCTTATATACCATCTGAGGAGACTTATTATCTAGTAAAAACCTTTACTTCCAAGACACACTTGATCACAATTTTCTTTGAATAGTAATTTTTTATTCACTTGTGATAGGGAGATGACTTATAATAGATCCTAGGTTATTATATAACATAGTAGAAATTAAAAAAAATTTATAAAATAAAATATAAAAAAATAAATAACTAATAATAAATACAAAAAATTCATAAAAATAATAAATTAAAAAAATTTTTCAGTTTTCTTGATCGAAAATAATATTTTTAATAAAAAAAATATTGATATTAAAAAAAAAAAAGTTTAAAAACAAGGGTCTAAAAAAGATTTTAATAAAAAATATTATATTAGATATAGAATAGAATAGTTGAAATTTTGATTCTTATTGAAATTTGAAAGAATAATCTGTAAACAATAATATTAAAAGTTAAAAAATTTTATATCAGAACTTTTAATAGAGTAATAAATTACTTTTGAAGTGATACTAAAGTAGTAAAAATTAAAATGAGTGAATTAAATAAAGATTGACTTTAATAACTTATATAACTTATTCAATATTTAATAAAAGTATATATAGCTAATTTAATAAAATTAATAATAAAAAAAAAAAAAAAAAAAACTCTTTCTCACTCCTCCCTACTTCGTGAAATTTTCCTTTTTAGAAAGTTTTTTTTTCCCTTCCCCTTTCTTTATTCTATATGAAACTATCAACTATATAGCAGACAAAGTCTGAGTTATGCTAACACCATACGAGGCTCTGTTATCTACTGTAACTTGTTGATGTATAGAAAGTATTATGTCTAGGAAAGCACGAGCAGATCTGAACTCTATATATGACAAATGTCTGAGACAAAGAGAACTGTCCTTCAGGAGCGGGACACTCCTGAAGCAAAGCTTTATATATACTTGAGTTGTCATAAATAAAAATATTTTTAATTCTCTTATTTTTTTTCCCAATCCCTTAACCTCTCTCACTTGTTCATTCTTTCCCCGTTTACTCTTACCCCTTCATTTTATATCCCTCCTACTGATAGATAGTTTTTCCCTTTTCCAAAGTTTTCTTTCTAGGCTTCTCACTCTTTTTTTTTTCACTGAACCATATCATCAATCCCATAGTAAATCAAGACTTTTCTCTAGTCAAGACAGTGGACTTAATACATAAAAAAAATCAAAACAAGACTTCTTCAATTGAAAGGTACACCTGTGGCAAGAAAGATTATATTTGCAAAATTCTAGGTATACTTTTCTATAATCACTAGCTACTTTACAACACCATATGAATAAAGAAGAGATAGTAACGGTGGGAATTTCATTCAGCAGCATCAAAAGTATAAGGTTTTACTTGCTAAAGGCCTAGACTATCATCTACGTTGGTCAGAAGTAGAGA